AATATCAGTATTTTGTTGTATTTTTTATGAACAGTTCATCTTAAATGTAATATCAGTACTTTGCTGTATTTTCTTGGCGCAAAGCTATGTAATGGGTTACTTGCTTTATGTCCACCATGGAGAATCGAACCCCGAATTATAGCACTGTACGTACGTAAACTTACCGCTGACCCACCGGGGGGAGGGCGGGTAATATTATCATTTTTAAGAAGATGAAACTGCAAAGATAAAAAATACTGGTAATGAAGCACGTGATCATTACAACCACAGCGGAGGCAAAAAAAAAAAAAAAACAAAGAATACCAAAGTTTCCACAAGAAACAAACTGAAGTTGAGAGAAAATTACAACATTCCGAAAACCAAAACTACGACGACAAACTGTTATATAACTACCCCAACTATATAACGTCAGAGTCTATTCCTATCTGGGACAATTAAACACAGTGTTCACTCAGTAGCATCAAGTTTCTCACGGTAAAACCAAAAACCGGTGTTTATGAAGATATAAAATAATACTTAATTGACCATTAATAATCGAACAATGTTAAATGTATTAAGGGGAAAACAATGAGCTAAATTTGATATGTAACTTTGCGCTTAAACAAAAAACGAAACAAATAAACAGAATATTTTAAACACAGTAAAAACATAAAACATTTACCTGTGAAATAATTAAATCTGAAGATTGTTTATGACACGTTCATGAGGTGTTTTCTAATGCTTAATATAACACTACATAAACGAAAGCCATAGCGCGAATTGCCAGGAAATAGCATTTCATAGTTATATTTTGTATACTGTTTCTTTTTAAGAGTTTTGGAAAATGCATTGTTTATTTCTATTTTAGAAGTTCTCATCCGATGGATCAGCAGTAAGTTTCAGGACTTACAACGTTAAAATCCAGAGTTCGATTCTCTGTGGTGGACAAGCGTGCATTTAGACCATCGTGTTGCTTTGCGTTAAAAGTCCAAAAGAACATTTTTAGAAGTATATTGGAACGTTCTATTTTAGAGATTGTCCCCGGGGTGGGGGGTTTACAGTAAGTTTCCAGATTTACAACGTTAAAATTTGAGGTTCGATTCCCAGCGGTGAACAGAACACAGATAGCTCATTGTGTAGTTTGGTGTTAAAAGGTAAACAACAATATTTTTAGAAGTAGATTGGATAGTTTATTATTAAAAAAACACAAATTATAAAGGTAAACTGTTAGAATATATTGGAGCGTGCATCGTTTTATGGGAGTTTCACCTTAGTAGTTCAAATAGTTCAGAAGTAACCGTTTCGTTAGAAAGAAGCATACTGCGTGAAGCTACTGGTTTAAAAATATATATATATATTGTGAAACTTATCATTTTAGTGTTCGTAGTTTTAAGTACCTGTAGCCCTAAACATTTATATCGTTATTAGCTGACGTACCGGTTCAACCCACGATAAGGATATAGAGGCCCCTGTGGTGACATACTGGGGATCAGATTCTAATGTAGACCCTTACGCGACTCCCCGAGGGCTCCTAACGCATGATTGGTGACAATCGGTCTATTGGTTCGCCAGTTATGAGCGAACATACACATACACATACACACACACACACAGCCTTGAGTACCAATTACGAATATTTACAATTTACTGAAATTGTTTTATTTCATTAGTGATGAAATTCATCCTGTTTAGTTCTATCGTACTTTTAGCGTTTTCCTGCAGTGACGTATTTCTAGGTGAAAGATTGGATCGTTACAAGTGCGATTTCATAAGTGATTTTTAATTCACCACCAGATGATATTAAAATGGCAGAAGATTGGATGAAAAAGTTGGCAGCTGTTAAATAACATCTTCGACAGGGCTTTAGTTCCCCCATTAAGTCACGAAAACAACAACAAAACACGCAGAAGAATCTTATCACACGCATCCTAATGAAACTCTTTTAAAACAACGTAAATGAAAACGAAACCATACACCAGTTACACAGTTATCCATTATGAAAAGCAATGGAGATTAGAAACAAGAAGGGGTGAAAAGCAAGTTAATGTTTCATTTGAGCAAATTGCATTAGGTAGTTTTGATTGAGAATATATATATATTTCCTCAATAGTCATCTGATGCAGTAAGAATAATCTCAACGTGAAGAAACCAAAGTATTTCTAATAATAAACAAAATCCAGGCCAGTTGTTAGGCAAACAACGGTGAAAATAATAATAATACCAGCTCTTTCTTCAAATAATGGAAAAATTGGTCTCTAATCAAACAATTAATGTTTTCGTTCAATCAATCTCAACCTAATCCTCTCTTTGAACAAATGAAACTGAAACCTCTACATGAACCATTTAAAATAAACTCTTGAAAGAACAAATGAACGAACCCAAGCACTTTAAGCAATAAGGATAAATTAGACCACCTTAAGAATAAACAAAATAATACCCTTCTTTGAATATTAAAACTAGGCATCATCTTAAACGAAAAACATTAAGTAATTCACATACAGACAGTTATTCCCTTCGGTGAATAAACAAAACCGAAACCTTTTTTTTTTTTGGTCGAAAGAAACAAACTAAATGTCTTCATTAGCAAATGTCGTATTACCCAGCGAACGATTCTCGTTACACGTGAAATACACGTTTCTCTTAACCAATTGTTTGTATTAAAAAAAAAAAATGAAATTCACTTTTTGAAGAAATAAATCAATAATTTTCTCGTAACAAATGAAGCTAAACCTATTTTCGAATGAACCAAGAAAATATGTCATGATCGATTTCTTTTTCAATCTTGATTATTGATTGTAATAAAAATATACGAAACTGAGCACACTCAAAAATTCGCGACAAATCACGCTAGACATTGATTTATGAAAGCTGAAAAATAAATGGGTGAACGTTGTAGCTTCCACTGTCTAAGACATTTTCAGAAGCCTAGAATAATTAATTATACGTTCTGTGTGTATGGTGCAGCAGTACAGTGAAGCCGTACTAAGTACAGATCGTCTGTTTCTATACTACAATAAGCTGTAGAAAACTTACAAAATGGTAGCAGAGACTGGAAAACATTTTTTAGGGATAATAATCATTGCACAATTTTCGGAAAGCTGCTATTTTTCATTATACACGATATACTCTTTCTCATTTATTTATGTAGACGGAAACAAACTGATTAGGCTTAATATATTAAATTCCAATTAATGACGTACATATATTCTTACTACTTCTGTTTCTTGTTATATGTCATTAGTGCATGGATTCAGCTTAAGCTAAACTTATGCATAAATGTTCCATGGAGGTGACTATAGCGATGCTCGTCAAAATATTTTGACCCCCCCCCCCCATGCTTACGTCAACGCATATAATTTTTATTCGTTCGCACTTTGGCTTCACCCATTAGGCTTCATGCTGCCAGCATTGGTTTTCTGCGTTAAAAGTGAGACTGTCATAGTTGGTATATTCTTTTAGTGAGTATTAGTTATTTTGTCCTGGGTGTAGTACACAGTTATTATGGTATCAAATTTGTTGTGCACAATCGCATGTGCCGGCCAATCTAATGCTTAGGTTATCTAGTATTACATTTTATTACAAAACTCTGAGCGTTTGTTGTAGAATACAATAAATAGTACAAAACTGAATTTCACGTTTATGAAGACACGATACTGTTGTGATGCGGTCCCTGCTAGCATTTCTATATGAGCTGGCGCAGTAATAATCTTGTGAAAAACAGCCTATGTACTAATTCCAGTTTTTTAGCACGTGACTTCAGGAGCGTCCCTCAAAAAATTACTGTGTCGATAAAATCTCGCGAAAAGTGAGTAATTGTGTGACCTTATTCTACAATTAATTTACACGTGTACCTTAATGGTGACATCAGTAACGTTAACTACCTTTATGGTACATCAGTGCAACCTGAAACTTATGACACCTATGTTTCTTTGCAACCTGAAATTTATGACACCTATGTTTCTTTGAGAAGCATTTTATTTTTACAGTTCTATGTTGCCTTGGTGATGTCTGGCAAACGCAATTGTGCTTTTGTTACCATGGTTCCCGCCATTTGCGAAAACAGCGCCAGGCTACTCTAGACGTGTGCTTGACATGCTGGTTGTTTTGTTTATCGTGTTTGTTTTCCTCTCATTTAATTATTGGAATGTATTAATTTATTGAACTGTCATTTTACTGCTGTGCCCCAACTTTTGGATCGCAGTTTGTTCCTTGTCTTTTTGCACTTATGCCCCAAAAAGTGCCCTTCTCAGTCATAACAAAATGTCCACAACTATGAAAAGACACGCCTGATTATTCAACACCTCCCACCTAAAACAAACGTCTTGCCTAGCAATGCTTGAAAAGTGCCTTTTTTTTTGTTAGTGAGTGACTGCGCGTTAAACGTTCTCTGTCCGTTACAATTCAAGCTAACATATAATTGTATCTAAAAAAAACTGTTATTTTTGAAGTTCTGAACTATCAACATCTTAATTAAGTGTGAATATCAAGCCAGTAATTACCTTTTACTATCAGTAAGATGTATTGAAACATTTACCATATATATATATATATTTATATTACATACACGTGTGTGTGTTATGTAGCACAAAGTTTTCGACATTTTATTTTTAACATGCGTACGGTCTGTTATATATGTCGTAACTTGACTAATTACTCTCGTCAAAGAGATTTATAATATTCTATAGAACAAAATTTAAGTAGGGCATTGAAATTATAGTTGATATATATATATGGTAAGAATATTCCTACCTGAACAAAAAACAAAGTATTACACGCTTAAAGTACAAACAAGGTACATGTATTTAGATAAAATCCCAGATCGAGTGAATGCCTCGAACAAATAGAGCGGTTAACGCGATAAAACAAATAGATATACATATAATTTAAACTATACGTAAGTGAAACTAAGCTGTATGTGTGAAAATTATATTTGAAACATGAGTAGCAAAACTTGCACTCAGATTATAAAAACAAACAGTATAAATTAAATATCCCCCCTAAAGAACTGCGTTATCACATACCTGGTTGTCGGCAGGGGGCGCTGTGATGTTCTCCGTACATCCTCCCGCCATAACCTGAGTAAAACAAAGTACCTATTGAGTCAGCCAGTTAACGGCGGGAACGTGGCCCTCTCATGACATTAAGTGTTAGTTTATAGAATATTTCAACGTCTCGTTAAAATATGAAACTGAAACATAAATTCTGACAATGATATTATATATATATATATATATATATGGATACATATGCTTGAGACTGCCATAATACTACAACTACCTGATGACCACTGTTTATGGATTATACAAAATGCGGGTTTTAATGACGTCTGTACCAGAACGTAAACAACTCTAGTTAAATACTACTTTCTTATAGTTCCTTTAGTGAAGAAGCTAAATCTCAAATTAAATGTGAACTTACTGTGCCTCAACAACAACAAAACACAAAATGCATGTTACACTTAGGATACTGTCATGCCTATTTCAACCACCAGAGCTCCATTTTCAGGTTAATACACAGATATATATATTCAATCATTAAGTACAGTGTACTTATTTTCTCAAGTCATACAGATAAATCAATATAAAAAAAACATTCAACTTAGACACTATTTTTTTCAGTTTACTATTACATTTGTCAGATGAAAACAAGTATAAGGTGTTTTTTGTTGTTGTTGTTGTTTCGAAAAATAAGGGTTTCTTCTCTATCAGAAATCCATTTCATACTCTGTAGCATTTATAAACACTTATAGAGAGAAAATTTAATGGAGGAGAAGTATCGTCTTCATACGCTGGATGTCACTAGTGCTGCAGTCTATTACGCAACTATCCAAGATAACAAAAAAGCGTGTGGATTGGTTGCTTTTTAAGTCAAAGAGTTAGGTCAATACTAAACAAACTAGTATATAAACAAAATATGTGAATTTTTGCAAAAAAAACGAGTAAATTAAAACGTAACTGGAGCCTCTTTTCGGAATGTTCTGGTTTTACATAAGTTTAAGTGATTTAGCAGTAGAGATAGTTTGGGTTTGTTTATTTATAGTTAAGCATAAAGATACATAACAGGCTATCTATGTCCTCCATACCGCGGGTATCGAGCCGCTATTGTTAGCGCTATAAGTCCACAGACTTACCGCTGAGTTACCAGGGGGGGGGGGAGAGATATAAGGGAAAATTGTCTTAGTTCCAACAACGCTTTGTTTGTTTTATGTATAAGACGTATTTTTATACATTAACGTGCTAACCGCTATTAACTCTTGTATGACAGATTTATGATACTTGATATAAAACAAAATAAGCGTTTATCCGATCAATTCGAACCAGTTAATTTCTCATTGGGTTCGAAGCTATACCTTAAAGGGTTTATATAAAAATAAATATATTTACCGTGATCTTTTCCAACCAGTTTTTGGCGCAACCAACAAATCACAGTGTGCTTGGTCTGTCCTTTTTATTTTTTACTGCATGCTGCCGAAGCATTTGACAAGGATCGATCTTAACGGTTATGGTATAACAAGAAACACAAAGGGAATCCTCAATAGCCGCGGCTGTAATTATGTCTCAAATCGGTCAAGAGATAGAGCTATGAGCTAAAAAAAAAAACTACGCGATTCTATGAGCCGCTATGCTGCGGCTAAAAAAACAACAACAAAAAACTCAGAACCATTTTATGAGCCGCTTTGCCGCGGCTAAAAATCAAATTTCTACGCATGATCTTGTTCTAAGCAAATAACACCATTTCTCAACATTACAATTCATACTTGATCACGTAAAGCATTACACGCCTGTTTAAATAGGTAACACAGATTAAATAAACGTGATTTCTATTGTTCTAGGGTTAACAAAAAGAAGTTTAATTCCTGTGATCATCTTTGAAACATTAGCACTAAAAACAACATACAGAATGAAAAGTAAGTATCCATTTAGATGAACAAAATTATAATATTTAAAAGTTTTAGTTTTATATGGTTTAGTTCGATTGCGTTATTCGTGTGTAAATATATTTTAAGCTATAAATAGAGAGGGCTCAGTATAGAATAGGTCGTATAACAAAGATGGCACTGGATAATGGTAAAATTCGATCTGTTTCACTTAAGTATAACAAAGGTCAATTTTAACAGCGTAGTTCTCTGTCGTCTACTGTTGCGTTCCAACACATGGTAGAAACATGCGGAAGTTAATGAGAGCTCACAACAACCGAGCCCCCCCCCCAGTGGCACAGCGGCACGTCTGCGGACTTGCAACGCTAGAAACCGGGTTTCGATACCCGTGGTGGGCAGAGCACAGATAGCCCTTGTGTAGCTTTGTGCATAATTAAAACAAATAAACACAGCAATCGCACCTGACCCTGGTGTTAGAAATAAATACTTGAATCTTCACTCTTCAGGCTTGGTCTATGTGTTCCTGTTTTTTAACGAGAGCAAGTTGAAATAACCCCATACGAAATGATCCCAAAATTATATAATTTCCTTATTTGTTTTGTGTGTTTTTTTTTATTTTGTAATCAGATATGTTGTTGGCAGAAATAAGTATTTGAAAAAAAAATGGTATGCAGAATAGTTCGAAACAAGCAAAATAAAAAAATGGTGAGAATGTGTTGATAGCAGAACACAACATTTTAATCCATATAAATTTAGTCCTTGACTAGAGGGCGTACAAGTTTCAAAGTTCCAGCTTCTACGCATCAGATCAACGTGACCCTGTTATCTCCTACACTGTATTTTAAATCTGGTTTTTAATAAACGCTACTCTTTTGTGCAATTTAATACATGGAATTGTTTCAAATACTGTCGCAAAAACTGATTACTTAGGGTAGTAAAAGCAGGAATAATTAACACAAAACAAAAAACGATTGGGTACACTGTCATGAACATGAGAAAGTTGTAACTGAAACACTTCAGTTTTACAAGGCTTGATGAATAAATAAATTTCTGACCGAGTATCGAATATAAATACTAGATTTGGATAGGTAAGAATAAGTAGACGTACAAACTTGATATAAAAGAGTTCTAGCTACAAAGGTACTTCTGTTTATTTGCACATAAAACTACATACGTCACAGTTTTTTTATGTTGGTACATCGCTTTTTCAATAAGGATCATCGGATTATGACGTGCGCGTCAATATTCCATATTTTACTGTTCTTGAAAGAATGCTTATTAAGATATGAATCACTGACTATTTATGTACAGTTATATATATGAACTTATTAGATCACCCCTAAAAAACTGAATAACGACTCAAGATCTTCAAACACACTCATGTATATATGCAAGCCATAGTGAAATCATGTCATAAACCTAAGAATACTCTACATGATGATAAGAGGAAACCCCTTTTTGTTTGTATGTGTGATTTGTAATATAATACGTATTATGATTTATGATGAAACAAAAATCTCTTACTGTAGCGTTGTATTAAAGAATCATGAATACTCAACAAAATTTTATAGAGAATTAGCAAATACGTAGCAATAGCAAAATCCATAAATGTACTTTTTTTTAAAGTTGAGAGACGAATCTTCTTGAATGTTGCTTTCAGGGAAAGTGGACGTTTTATGCCTTAAAAAAATACATAAAACTCCTAGCGAAGGTCTCGTCCTCTCCTTTTGCTCACTCGACGAATTTTCTTGTTGTTGTTCAGTATTGATCATTCCGTCAGCAGGGATTTGTCTGATAAAAAATATGTCGTGTCAGTGTCACAAATGCGAGCTAGTGTACGTGTGTGTTTGTATGTCTAGAATTTTGACAGTAACTGAGATATTTCTTTGAGAGAAACTACTATACGCAAATATTCTTTTAAAACAACGTTGTACCCCCCTGCTCTCTAGAAAATTTTTTGGCGCTTTTAACCAAACATATTGTTTAGCACTGAAACGTATGAATAAGTCGCCTGATATTCTGACGATTCACGAGCCCCTTTGTCTCTAACCCTTTGATAATACCATCGACAAGAACGATAGCTAAAAATACACGAACGCTCGTACGGTGTGGTCCACTTCTTCCCATACGAAAAAAACGAAAAAAACTTCCTCTTTATCAGTGCAGTCCGTTACTGTTTCTCGCACAAGCGAGTAACCCAATTTGACCAATCCAAGAGCTCGACATGCTCAAAAAGTCACATATACAGAACGTAATCCTTTGAACTCTCTGATTAGTGTTGTTTTTTTTTTTTAATCCAACTACTCTGTGATTTGAAACTTTAAGAAAACTGTTCGAACTCCAAGTTAACAATACCGCACCGCTTTAGCTCGGTAAACAATGGTCCTGCTACTAGTTCTTGTACACCTAGTTCAGTATAAAAACGCACATATGTGTACACATTTTTTTTTTCTCTTTGCTGCATGTAATGTAAGGGTAGAGCCTTGATAATAATTATGCGAACGACCATGGAAACAACTAACTTACTTGCTCCATGTCCCGAAATACGAAACCACGTGCCTTAGAAATTATGCACAGCAAAAAAGCCTTTAGGAACTGCCATATTTAGACTAGCCAGTCTCCCCCCCTCCCATACCCCCCTTTTTTTTTACAGTTTCGGAGTCGTCTGAAGAATTATGAATATCCAACTTTCTCGACGGCTTTCTCAAATAATGTCAAAATCATTGAAGTAAGTGAATTAATATTAATAACTTAATTCCGAATACCACATTTGTGTAAACAATTTTACATGCAAAAGATAGATATTAACAAAAAAGTTTACAAATCTCTGTGAATAATATATGCGTTCTGTTGTGACTGATATCACAGCAAACACTTTTCGTCATTAATTACTCAGGCTAGTTTATCAGTATAAAGTGGATTCTGACTGTTTTACTTTCATCTTCCTTACTTTCCTGTCCCCCGGTGGTACAACGGTATATCTTCGCATTTACAACACTAAAATCCGGGGTTCGATTCTCCTCGTGAACACAGCAAATAGCACAATGCGGTTTTCCTATAGGAAAACACACACACACACACACACAATCCTTACTTTCTTGTCCCCCGGTGGTACAACGGTATATCTTCGCATTTACAACACTAAAATCCGGGGTTCGATTCTCCTCGTGGACACAGCAGATAGCACAATGCGGTTTT